GCTGAACCAGGCAAGGAAGAGGTAGAATGAAATCAAATGCAGTAGTAATGGGGAAAGAAGAGCCCTGAGAAGATAACTGAGCGCTATGGAGAGAGAAAAAAAAATAAAGAGGAAAGAAGATGAAAAGGAGTGGGAAGCTATTGTATCTTTTCTTCTGCCCCTTTTCTTCTTGTTCCATGATTTTTGTTTCTTAATATAACTGGATAACAGTTAGACATACTAATGAATGCATTCTAAATAAATCACATTGAAAACTGCCTGAAGGATTATTTGTAAAGGTAATAAAAGCAACAATGTACAGACCTGTAGACAACTATTCAGTTAGGTTTGGGTCAAACCAGTCTCAGAGGACTATTTCAGATGTTATGATAATGTACTAAGACACTATGAGATTACTGTAACCACATACAAAATTAACTTGAAAGTCTGAAAAAAGCTATTCACAGTTTATCAGTAGAAAATAGTTTCTCCAGAAATGTGGAAATTTGCATACCGGGAGCACCCTACTGGCAATTTCTGCATGTAAATATAATTTTAACATTGGCCTCTGCTAATTTTAAAATTGGTCCCTTAAAATTAATCTGGAAGAAGCACTAAAATAGGCAAGGATGATAGTAGTGAAATGTTTTACCTAGTAGATCTTTCCGTTTCTAGCTTCTGTGGTTATTTTCAGTAATATTGTATTTTTAATTAGGAACTGAGAGGCCTGTTGCTACATACTTTTTCCCTCTTTGTCTACTCAAGTGAGGATGACGTTTTTGGCTAGCTAATACCACTGCTCTTAGAATTTTGGGGGAAAAAATGATACCTTGTGAAACCCTGGTCTTTTTTTTTTTTTTTCAACTCCTTTTTTGACTCTGCAGCAAGGCTTGTGAAGATGCAAGATGTGTATGTGCTTACAATTTTCTTGTTTTCATTCTACTTTGGTATCAGGAAAAGGTAGGAAGCTCAGCTAAGTCCTTCTTATAATTTATTTCATGATTCTTTAGTTTTTTGATATGCTTTTTCCTCTCAGTGATCAAAACCATTTTTCTATAGGTTTTATTGTGTTGCAGTTTAGAAGTCAGTATTCTTTTCTCTTTTTACAGTTTCAGCCTTTTCCTCTACCTTTACTTGTCCCTCTACCTATTTTCACAAAGGCTGAGTCTTTTCTCATTGCATGGTTTCTGT